TTTTTGTTAGTATAAAGATCTGAAGCAATGCTGCAATAACAATTTATTTAGTGGAGTCATGTATCTATTATATAATTTTCTTAATTTTTATGAATGCTTAAAATTATTCATAAAGGTATTTTTTAAAGAAAAGAAGATGTAATTGAATATGAAGCAGTTCAGTTGATGTCTTCTTTGTCTCAAATGCAAAGTTATTGACGCTGAATTCACTGGGCTTCTATCCTACCCTGAAATGCTCTTCTCTTGAAGGAAGAGTAATAAAATCAGAAATCGGCCAGGAGCGATGGCTCACGCCTGTAATCTCAGTACTTTGGGAGGCCGAGGCGGACGGATCACGAGGTCAGGAGATCGAGACCATCCTGGCTAACACGGTGAAACCCAGTCTCTACTAACAGTGCAAAAAAATTAGCCAGGCCTTGTGGTGGGCACCTGTAGTCCCAGCTGCTCCCGGCTGGGATAGGAGAATCGCTTGAACCTAGGAGGCGGAGGTTGCAGTGAGCTGAGATCTGCCACTGCACTCCAGCCTGGGTGACAGAGCGAGACTCTGTCTCAAAAATAAATAAATAAATAAATAAAAATAATAAATAAAATAAAAAATCAGTAAATCCTAGGTATTTGTGACTAGAAGTGCATTATCAAGCAAGTTTAAAGTAGTACAGTCAGTGAAGAACATCATATATGTGTTTCCATTTAGCTGTTTATTGAAGTTTCTATGTATTAAGGCAAGATGATTAATTGTAAATCTCTATTTTGAAGAATAGGAAAACATGTGTGATCCACTGTTTTTTAAGACTTTTATTGGTCTGGTAATGTGTATTTACCCTGAGCTTGGAACACAAATTTACCCATTCGCTCTTGAAATTAACACATGTCAAAATGGCTGCCTAAATTAGAGCATAGAACGCATTTCTCAGTGCAAATGACAGTCATCTCTGTGGAATTACAATCTTTGTCTTCAACTAAAACCTTATTATCTAAATATGAAACAAACCAGCTTGGATGAGCATGTGCTAAAGTGAAAGAACATGACATCTTGCTTTAGTTAAAGGCAAACACTCATTGAAACTTTGACAAAATACGTCACTTTCCAGATGACATTTTTGATATAGGACATACAAATAAAACGTTTACGTGCATCTTCTAATGCATTTTAGTTATATATATTTTCAGTAAAATTATGTAAGTGAATTATGCTCTGAAATGTCACAACAAATTTAGCAATCAAATTAGAAGATTATTTTTAAGACCTTGTATTTGAACATTTTGAAAGGATGATTTTCAAAGAAATTTGTTCAGTATATTCCACTGAGACATAAAATATCCATCAGCCTGGCCATTGAATGTTTTGCAGTTCTCAGCAAATTCCCTCAGAAGTAATTTTTATAATCTCATTTTAGATTTATTTGAAAATAATTTTCCAACAAGGTTAGTGAAGTTTTCTTTCTCTGATTCAAACTCTGTCCTTCAACATCTTCAAAATCATCAGCATAGGAGATACACCTAATGTAAATTACGAGTTAATGGGTGCAGCATACCAACATGGCACATGTATACATATGTAACAAACCTACACGTGCACATGTACCCTAGAACTTAAAGTATAATAATAAAAAAAATTAAAAATCATCAGTATTCAAAAATGATAAAATGATTCTCTTTTAATTTTTTTTTCAAATTTTATAATGTTGGATGCATCAGATTTCTGTGGAAGGTAATAACTTTCACCTCTAATTGGGTTCTTATTTTTGTTCAATGACTTAGACGTGAGTATATCAAACTGGATGTGGGATAAATTTTCCAACTTGTTAGGATCTGCTTTTTTTGTGTTGTCATTGGCTAGGATAGAAAATATTTAGGATTCTAGGATAGAAAATATTTATTTTTACATTTATTTTACTTTTTTAAAAATTTTTAATTTTTAGTTTGGCATGGGGTTGGGGAGGCGGGATCTTACTCTGTCACCCAGACCACAGTGCAGTAGTGTGATCTCGGCTCACTGCAGCCTCAACCTCCCCAACTCAAGTGATTTTCCCACCTCAGCCTCCCACATAGTTGGAACTACAGGTGTGGGCCACCATGTCCAGCTGATTTTTGTAGTTTTCATTTTTGTAGCGATGAGGTTTCACTACGTTGCCTATGCTGGTCTCAAAATCCTGAGCTCAAGTGATCCACCTGCCGTGGCATCCCAAAGTGCTGGGATTACAGATGTGAGTCACCACATGTGGTGAGAAAATATTTCTCATTCCTAAAAACTGACTCCTTCTCTTCTGTATTTTATATATCTGATCTGGGGAATAGAATGTTGATTTACTTAACAATCCATTAATCATTTCAAACTCACCCCTATGGGATCAGAATACTATTTCCTTGGTCTTAGTCTCTCATGTACACTGAGCTCTATCTGGTAGCCTAACATTCCTGGTCTCTCTTCATCCTCTTATTCATTCCTTCCCAGAGGAAGGAAGAGCAACAATGGATTGGTGAGTTTTCAAGAAGAACCTGAGTATGCCTGCCTGGTCCCTCACCTCCTCGTTTCTTTTTAGTGTTTACTAGCTAAGGAAATATGAAATCTGGTCACCTCTTCCTTGCTATAGTTTCACCCAGGGTAGCCTGTAAGGCATAGTTCTGGGTCTTATTTCTGCGTTTTGCATTTTAGAGGACCACTTATCTACAGAAATAGGCAATTTTCTTCAGGATTAGCTGTATCAATAAAAAGTTGGTATTTTGTTCTATCTTCAATCTTAGTTCTTAATTGCCTCCACACTTGAGCTAAGAAATAAAGTACTAGTTACTGGATTTTCCCTGAACTCCCAACAGCATGTAAATCCCCAGCCCTCCAGATACTGGATGTTTAATATTGCTCAGATTTTTGCTCTTTTCTTTAAACCATCTCTGCTTTAGTTTATTAGTTGCCTGGATTAAAGAAAAAGGTTAACTATTACAACTATTTTTTTTCCCAATGTTAGAGCAACCTACAATTCATGCTTCACACTGATGCCAAAAAGTGTATCTTGAAGTAGACATTTTATATCTTGTTATTTCTCCACATTTTTGTGTGTTTATTTCACCTGGCTCTTTATGGTAACTGTCTACTCTCCCATTCCATATCTAATGAGTCAATCAGATGCATGCTTATCATATCACAAGATATTATCATATTAAACTCTCACAGTATTTAAAATAAAAAAAAAGTTTAATATATTTCCATGCATTCACACAAGTTTTTTCTCATTGCCCATAAAAACCTTGTATTATTTTTCACCTAGCAAAATGAGCTCATCAACCTTTGAAAGTCAGTTTAAGCATCAGCTTGCCAAGGCATCTTATTTGACTCCCATTTGATATATGGGTTTCTTCTGTTTGCTTTCAATATACTGTGAAATCTTCCATTTGTTATTTTGTTCATTCATTCACTCTGGTTTTCATTGGTCCGTCCATCCATCCATCCATCCATCCATCCATCCATCCATCCATCCATCTATTCAATTGTCCATGTTAGCATACCTACCGTGTACCATGGTCTGTGAATTTTACTATGGATGCAGGGGTGAAAGATGCCATTCTTGCTTCCCTGGAGTTATATCTCTACCATAAATTTATCCCAAATGCCTGTAATGAAAGATATATCTGACTGCCTTGTCTACTAGACTGTTAACTATATAATGGCAGAGATGGCATATTTGACTTGTGTTCTGTGCAGGAAATGTGTGAGGGGAGAAGAAAAGGCACACACACAGTACCTTTAAGGGTAAACAAACTTTATCCCACATAAATGGTAATGCAGATATAATAAGCAAATGATATAATAAGCAAATTGTAATTGGAAGGGAAGAAGGGAAAAAATATATGTATCAATTAAAAATATCAATTAAAAGTCAATGAATACTCTTGTGAATCTCGTGGAAACCACAGAAGAGCATGAATAAGTGAACAAAATTATATATATATACATACACACACATATACATACATACATATACACTCACCAGACTATGGAGGATTCACCACCAAACTGGGAAGCAACAGCCTGGGCTCCAGAGTTGGCCACTCATCCATGCACAGACAAGGAGAGGTCTCATGAAGCTTTGGCGCTGTCTGGGACCCTAGCTCTTTTTGTAATGAGCTGTTTGGCGTGAGCTTCAGTCACAAGTGTCCTTCCTGATGGGGCCTAAGGAACACAAAAAGGTCGACTTGTTTTTGCTATTGTCTGTTGTTTTTCAATAACTAACACATAGGAATAGATTGACATAGAGATTTCTTCGAAACGACGCTGGATGAAAGCCTCAAGGGGCTCACACAACCCGTTCTGGGACTTGGTAATCATTCTTTGTGTCCATGTTCAATTGAGTTCAGATTTAATGTTTAACTTTTTCTCCACAGCTTGGATTCCCTGCATCTACCATGTGTATGGCACAGACATGTTATCAATATACGTTTATTGAATAACTAATAGTCAACATCTATAAATGTCTTCCATCCTCAGTAATTTCAGAAATTGTAATCTTGTACAAAACTTCTAGGTGAGGATTTCTGGTTTGACTCTTTCCTGAAGCCTTGCATTTTGAATATGTGAAAATACGTTAAACAAAGATGAGGAGACGTTAGATTTATTGTACCAGTAGAAGAACAAAGGTTATTTACCTAGTAGATTAGAAAGTTATTTAGATCTTTACTCTGGTTCTTAATTCCAGAATCTGAAACTCCCTTAGTTCCTGCTGATTCTCTAAGCCCTGGCCTTGGGCCTCCCATGTATTTGTTGAGCTCTGAATAACTTTTCAGTAAGTTCCATCTGTACCATAATCATTTTTCATGATAAAAGTTATTTAGTCATTTACTGTTCTAAATCAAGAACCTCAATTTTATTTTAGCAGAGTAGTCAATACTACTCACTGTTCTCTATGATATTAATTGTAAGGCATATTTAGAAAGCTTCATTGTGTAAAATCTTTAAAGAAGTAGAAAACCTGCTAAATGATGCCTGTATATTTTTTCTTATCAAGGTAATTTGCCAGCAGACTTTCCAACTCCACCCGAAATCTCAGTTCCTGTAACATTACCTCCACACAACTGCACAGACAATGAATTTGTCTGCAGGTCTGATGGTCATTGCATCGAAAAAATGCAGAAATGTGATTTTAAATATGACTGCCCTGACAAATCAGATGAAGTATCCTGTGGTAGGTGGATTCTTAAAATTTGTTTATTGCTACAAAATAGATAAGAAAATACAAGTGTAATATCTAAATAGCACAGCCTAGTATCATAGTTAGATATTTTCAACATGAGTTAGTGCAACTTCTAAATGTAACAGTTATTCATACAGAAAATTGTAATGGAAGAATCAGAATGCATTTTCTATCAGGCCCAGTAAGAGATACGTGTCTTTAGATTAATGTTTTGGATTGAAAACTCATTTTCACAAACTTTACTTGACTCTGGGAGTAGCATTTAGTAGCTCTTTCCATCCATTCCCTTTGATCTGTAGTCCTCACACTATAAAATAGGGAATGTTTAGGGAGGTAGCTTTATAGCACTGTCAGATTAATTCATTCAAATTTTGCCGTTGCCAAAATGCACATATAACATTAGTGCTATTAAAATATGCAGAATTAATGAGAAAACCTATCTTAATGCAAATGGGACCTTTGTCCCCTGTGTCCTAGTTTTTACCTGCCAATTCAGTGGCTTTTCCTAAATGGATCAAAGACAAACTATTTAATTTAAAAGTGGATTTGTAAGCCAAAGATACAGTCTTAGAGGAGAAAGATCAATCTGTGTCTGAATGAGCAAAGCATAAGATCAGAAGGAGTAAACACTTTGTAATATCTTTCCCTTCCCTGTTCTTCATGGAGTAGCCTGCGAATTGACTCTACCATCATATTTCTCAAGTGTCTTGATAATATTAAGGGCTCAGAACAGACAGATAACACAGAGAGAGTAGTGAAACCCTTATTTTATGGCAACCTTGTGAAGAAATTCTAGGACTTAAGAAATCCAATGAGGTTCATATTTATTCTTCTAACCCAGAAAAAAAATGTTCCTTAATGTACAAATACACCACCAATTAACTATCTAATCTAGACCAAAAAATCATAAAAGCAAAGCCGACTCACTTTGTGCAGAAGATGAGACAGTAATTAACTCAAGCTACCCAGGGATTTATGTCATGCACCACACATGGAAAATAATACAATGGAAAGTGTGGTGGTGGTCAGACTTCCTCATGGGAAGGCATTCAAATCCCCTTATGATCTTATATAAGTTGTAGTGTTTGTAAGAGTTTATACAAAACCTAATAAATTACACATAATGAGTATCTTTAGGGAATACTGAATTTCCTGTAAGTTCAACTTTGCCATTTTAGTAATGTCATTTATGATTAGAGGGGAAGTTTTGATAAATCCTTTAAATGTCTAAATGAATGCCTATTATTAAGTTATTTTTAATCAAAGAGTTTTTATAATTTTGAACAACTATAAATGAATTATTACCATTTTATTTATGGATAAACTGAGATTTTGTCTCTTCCACCCTTTTGTAAGATAAAATATTATGACAAATCTGCTTATAAACTGTGCAAGTTTTCAAATTGATTTTGAAAATTGTGATAAAAACACATAACATGGCCAGGTGCAATGGCTCATGCCTGTAATCACAGCTCTTTGGGAGACCAAGGTGGGCAGATCAGTTGAGCCCAGGAGTTCGAGACCAGCCTGGCCAACATGGCAAAACCCCATCTCTACAAAAAGAATACACAAATTAGCTGGGTGTGGTGGTGTGTGCCTGTAATCCTAGCTACTTAAGAAGATCAGGTAGGAGAATTGCTTGAGCCTAGGAGGGGGAACCAAGATCGTGCCACTGCACTCTGGCCTGGGTGACAGAGTGAGACCATGTCTCAAAAAACAAAACAAAACAAAAAAAACAAACAAAAAAAACCATAAGAGATCTGCCCTCTTAACAAAATGTTAAGGGTACAATACATTATGGTTGACTCTACTACAATGTTGTACAGCAGATCCCTAGAACCTATTCATCTTGCTTGACACTTATATTTTCTAACGGTTCTTTTAAAAGCCTACAAATTATATCTTTTAAATGATATGAAGAACAGAGATATATTGGATCCTAAATCCCTTCACAAGATAAACAATTAATGTCAGAGGTTAACTAATACACCTGAATGTCATGATTAAAAACACTTTTATAAATGTTTCCTTTTCAGATTTTACATTAACTCATATACCCAAATTTCTAAATGGTCATAGTGGTATGCTGGCCTTGTTAATGTCATTTAAAAGCTAGAGTGCACACCAGGTTTTCTATAGTATACACAAGAACTTTATTGAATTGAATCTTTCTTTTTTATTCAGCAGCGGAAGATTTTAGACATATGAACACATTCAGAGAGAATTTAAATAACAGTTTTACGCATAACCTATACATTTTTAAAAAAAATCAGTGGACCTGTAATTTCCTGTGATATTAGAATAAAATTATTACAAGAATCTATAAAACTTTCTAGGAAACAGGTCCAATATGAAAGTTATTGGAAATCTCGTTGCTTAAACTGTAGTTGGGAATTTGCGATAACCCCTTCAGAGGCTGAGAAAAGGAGAACAGACTTGTCAGAAGTTGGAGATCAGGCAAGGAATGAAATTGGTTAATGGAACTGCTTAAATTGATGCTGTAGAAGCTAATTAAAATCTCACCTCCTCATGAAACCGGATCATTAGTGTATGTATTTTTTCTATATTTTATTCCCATAAATATTTGACTAGAAAAAACCTAGATTTCTTTGAAACTCTTCCAGTGATTTTACAAACCATTTGCCTAGTTATTTTAATAATGTTTGAAAGTTACATTATAATTAAAAACAAGAGTAAGAAAGTGCTGATAAAGATTGTACAGATTGAAATTGCCACTTACTAGCTCACCTTTTCTTTGTTCTACCCTGTCCAAGTTATGGAAGTTTGCAGCTTTGAGAAAAGAAGCCTGTGTAAATGGTATCAACCTATCCCAGTACATTTACTTCAAGATTCAAACACATTCAGATGGGGGCTTGGGAACGGGATTAGCATTCATCATGGGGAAGAAAACCACAGGCCATCGGTGGATCATACACAGTAAGTGACCGTGTACTTTGAACATGTCTCTTGGGAAATATTTATTAAATGTCTCCCAAATTTCTGCCCCCACCACCTTATCCTAGGCCAATGTGATTGTAAAGATGAATGTTAAGTTGAAAAGAAGGCTGTGTATTTTCTTTCATATAAAATGGAAAAAAAAATCAATTATAAAAGCAACGAATGCTCTCGTGAATCTCATAGAAACCCGAGAAGAGCATGAATAAGTGAACAAAATAATTTAATATTATCACTCTTTGAAAAGCCCTGTTAATATGTTGTTTTATAAATGATCTATGAATTTCTTTCCTCCTCAGATCTCTTTTCTCCTTCTCCCCTTTTCCATCTCCTCCACCACCTCCTCCTCTCATTTCCTCTTCTTCAGCCTCCTTTCCCCCACCCCCACCTTCCCCTTTCTCTCTTTCTACTTTTTCTCTGATGCGTATTTATTATACATGTATGAACACAGGTAAATGTGTGGATTTTCAACATAGATGAAAATATTTTTCTACTTTTCAGTAAGTCATGCCATTAAATATTCATCATTATTTGTATTTCACTGTAATGACTTTCAACAGTTTACTAATCTGTTCTCAACTAGTGGATTTCCCAGTTATTTTCATATTGTCTTAATATTATAAAGTTGCTTAAAAGAAGAAATAGAATACCTAGTGTGTGAGAACGCTGCTGTAGGCACTAGAAATAAAGGAGTGACTGAAACAGATGGTCTTTGGCTCTCATTAGGGAGACAGGCAGTAAGTCAATAAATAGAAAGCGTTGCAGATGCTGTTAACTGCTACACAGCAGAATGGAAACAAGGAAAGGGTTTGTTAGTGATGGAGCATTTCTCTCTGAATGGAACCCAGAGGGAAAGGCCCATGCAGGAAGACCAGCGTGGCTGGGGTGGGATAAGAAGAGCAAACTACACAGCAAATGTGTATTTTTTCTTTATTGTATTGACTATTAAGGCTTTTGTCCATTTTGAACTTTTTTCACTTTTGTGAAATGCGTGAATATTTTCTAGTGTTGTAAGCATGTTTGTATTTTACATACCAACTTTTTCTGTTTACCACTTTCATCTTTATGTATCACATGTAACACATTTTTATCACATGCGTCTAGTCTAAAAGTGTCAAAGAGAATTGACAGTCTTATAATGACAAACAGCTGACATTCCTTCAGTAACGTCAATCCAATTCCCTGGAGATACCCTATTATGTCCAAGATCGTTCCTCTATACTTTCTCACTTTTATTAGGGACTGGTTATAGGTGCTAGTCCATATTTATAAAAGAATATATAGTCATTTCTTGATTCAAAAATTTTGGCTTCCTCTATTGCCATCCTATTATGAGGAATGGAACCTCTATTCCTTTCCCCAAATCCTATTTCTCTCCCTCCCATCATTCTGACTGTGTATTAATACACAGTTCTGTTTAAGTTTTTAACTTAGCAGTATTCTGACTCTTTTGAAATTTCTGAGCTAGATATTGCATGGTGATTACTTCTTTTGTTTGTATTTTATGTGAAAATTAATAGTTTCCTTACCTTTTATTTTCCATAGATGTTTTCTGAACTTAATGTGCTTTTCCTCAATATCAGTTGCAATATCAATTTGCATTCTCCCTAACCAAGTAGGGAAAATGATTGATATTTAGTAATGGTGCTGGGATATTTGATTTTTCATATAAAAATTACATATATAAATTTAAAAACTATACTATGTGGTTTTGTGTAACTGTACTGTATGATGTTGAGGTGAAGACAAATCGCCTAGCAACGCATTTCTCAGAACTTATTCCCGTCATTAATTGACACGTGACTATATGCAGTTATATAGTTGTTCAGCCTGTTTTTTATTAGGACTTGTTTATAGGGAGCAGAATCTAACATGTAGGTGGAAGTATTAATTTTACCTTGGAAGAAGGATATTCCTTGCTGTATAACAAGCAGGGAGAAAGAATGTATTGCTACCGACTCAGATGAATTTATGAATTTAAAAAAATTAAGCAACGTGACATACAAAGTAATTTAATGGATTTTTTCAAGTATCTATTTTTCACGTACTCGTCTTCTGTTTTTTAGTTTTCATTATTAATTTTTTTTTTGGAGGAGTCTCACTCTGCCACACAGGCTGGAGTGCAGTGGCTCAATCTCAGCTCACTGAAACCTCTAGTTTTAATTTTTGTGGGTACATGATAGGTGTATATATTTATGGACTGCATAAGGTGTTTTGATACAAGCAAGCAATGTATAATAATCACATCATGAATGGGGTACCCATACCCTCAAGCATCTATCCTTTGAGTTACAAACAGTCCAGTTACTCTCTTTATTTTAAAGTGTACCATTATTATTGATAATAATAACCCTGTTGTGCTATCAGATAGGTCCTATTCATTCTTTCTGTTTTTTGTACCCATTAATCATACCTACCTCCCTCTACCAGCTTCCACTACCCTTCCCAGCACAAGTATTCATCCTTCTCTGGCTTCTTTTTCACGTGTCATTTTCTTTATCTTTTCTTTACATTTTTCCTTGTTCATTTGCTCCTCACATTTACATGGTAGTAATTATTTTAAGTAGGGATTTTGTGACCTCATTTTGTTCCTTATCATTTATTTTGGTATCTCCTCTTTTTCTGAGGTTCGGTAACTGGTATATTTCCCGTTTTGTAGTCCACAATTCTATTGTGTGCCCAAGTCCTGCGAGATCCCCTCCTTCCTCCTCTCATTCTGATAATTCCGGGGAAATGTTATTGCAGATGCTCTTATGTAAATAATCTTCTCAAAATCTTTATGCCCTTTACATCCCTCTCCACAGTTAAAACTTCACAACCCCCAAACTGTAGCTGCTGCTTCAAAGAAAACCAGTGGTGTCTCTGCTGCTCTGTCTGGGACCTCCTTCTGCAGGTGGGCTTTACACCCAAGAGATTCACAACATCTTCAGCATCTAATTATTTTCTTTAGGCTGATTTCCCCTCTCCCTGCTTTTGAAGCTCTCTTTTGTCACTGCTTTTGTTCTATTAAGATGGCTCCTTTTTTTATTCAATATTTTTTAATTTTTAATTTTTTTATTAAAAAATGTTTTTCTTTATTTTTTTTTCCTTGGCCTGCTTCTGACTCACACACACACAAAAAGCAAAGGGCACTTACAGAAGGTTTTTGTGGCTTATATCAATAAATGACATCTTATGAATAATCTGTAAGTACATTAAGAAAAGGTGGACTAGAATTTCACATGTAAGTGGTAAAGGTAGAAGTAGCAATGTGTCAAAGTATTATAAGGCAGTAATTTGTATTTCCTCTCACCCTACCACTTTCAATAGACTGAAAATTTCCTGAGGAATCCCGGGAACTCTGATTTCCCAATTTGTTGCATTATTTTCAGGTGTCTGGTGCATAATAGGTCTCAATAATTATTTGTTGAATGAATTAGTTTCTAATTAGCATCAACATATTTGTGTTTTATAATTATAGGCTACAGAATACAAAATTAAATTTTAAATAGGAATGCTTAATAGTCCGATAATATTTAACATAAGTGCTCTACGTAACAATAAATTGTGGAGAAGGGAACGGCACCTAACCTTACATCCCCTCTCCTTTTCTTCTTTTCTCTCTAGGATCGTTCCTCAGCCAAGGAAGGCTTGATATTTTTTCTTTTCTTAAAAAATAGTTCTTGTACATCAGATAGCCTACTCTATAGTTTATAGTAAGATTCTAAACTCAGTTTTCCACATTTTGTTCTTTGTGTTTGAAGGAAAACTTTTCTAATTTTAAAATGGCTTTTCTCTCTCAGGCATCTTGCTGTAGAAATTTAAAGCCAGGTTTTTAAGGATGTTGTTTTGGAAATAGTTCTCAAGATTAGTTTTAAAATTGAAAGGCTTTCTGTCAATTCTTTCTTGTCTCTTTCTCTGATCCCAGCTCTCTTGGAGAAAAAGATTGCTTCTGGCTCAGTAAAGTAAGGATTATTTATAAGCAAGTATAAGAGGAAAAAAACACAATAATATATTTCAAAATATTTTCTCACGTTATGCACTTAATGAAACAATGAAAAAGTCTAGAAAAGCCGTAGTAGGGTAGGAGTATGTAGGGAAGTTTTCATTGTGTAATTGAGACTTAGGCAAGGTCTTAAAATGCACATTTTTATCATGAAATGACACAACTACCTGATATTCTACTTTTTTTTTTTTTTTTTGCATCCACAATTTAATGGACTATCCTTGGCATATCTGAAGTGAACTCTGTGATATGAAGTTAAGATTGCATCTTTATTTTTTATGTTTGTGGGAGAGTAACACAATTCCATGCAGCGAATTTATTAATTTTTACATGAATTTGAAAAAGGCATCTCTTCTTGTAGACGGAGGCATTTTCAGCACAGAGTTCGGGGGGTGGATTCTCCCTTTGTCCTGATCAGCAGGGCTCAACTGAGGTTACCTGGTATGATTTTTCTAGGGTTATAATCAAGGTATATGGAAATACTGCTCTCAACTATAATGCAATGGAAAGATAAAGTAAAAATCATTCAATGTCAATATCATCAGTTGCAATTTATGGTTTTTTTTTTTGAGATTGGGGTTGAATAAGATTTCCATTTCCTTTAAATTATGTAGGGAAGGAGAATAGTAGAAAAGTATTTTTCTTAGTATTTTGAGAAAAGAACTATAATCTAGTGTTAAATAAAATCAGTTTGTACCCATTCATGCTCCAACAACTACTAAGGCAGTTGGCAAAATCATGAGTCCTACTCAACTGAGAAATTTTTTAAAAAATTATTATTTGTTTATCATTGAATCAAGATACTTGGACCATCTAGAATCTGAGCCTTATCGTTCACATTTAAATATGCTTAAATTGTTGTATATTTGCAGGTCTCATGTAATGGTTCCTCTCAGTTTGTGATTTTTATATGATCTCAGAATCCTGTACTCTGACCTACACAATTAGTTTATTTAATCAAGTCTCTTAGCCCAGGCGGTGTTTCTGTAGTATGTAA